CCTATACCTTAGAGGAAATGTAAAATGAGCAAATCAGACTTAAAAAAGAGTGGAAAAGTTTTGTCAGGAGGCCTCTAAGCCCTGGCTCTAATTGCCCATTGCTTTGGATTCTGACCTCAATTTTGTTATGTCCTATGTTCACTTGGGGGAGAGGTTCAGCAGTCACTTAGGAAATATGGGGAACCGACACCTCTCCCAGGCCAACCCCTCTACACCTTGGATCCCCGGAAAGCCAGGGGACCAAGTACTATTAGAAGCCTAGAGGGGGAGGGGTCTCTAACAGAACAGTTAGCTCCTAAACAGAAGGGACCCTTTGCAACTTTTCTGAGCACACCAACTGTCATTGGGCTTCAGACAGTCAGTGGCTGGGTCCACTTCCCTTGAATCAAAATTATTTAAGTCTCCACAGGACTCCCTCAGGAGGAAGACTGTCACTCCTGTTCCTGTGAGAAAATTGAAGACCTTAAGCTCCACTCCACACAGAACTGCCAGAGCTGCTCATTTTTGCCTCTACCTGTTCCCCACCTGGGATGCCCATTAAATGCCTTTTGGTTCTCCTCTTTCCCAGGCTCCTCTAGGGAGAATAAGCAAGAAGCTCTAGTGCCCATAGGCAGGGACGATGCCCACTCTCAGCAGGAAGCAGCCAGGAACAGTCATGGTCCTCTACCCTTGCAACCATGCTAATTTTATAGAAATAGATGAATAAAAAGCGGGGGAATTGATACAGGGCCCGGTTGGCACCCCCATAGTAGAGGCCTCTCCATGTCCCTGGCCTCAACTTTCCTTGACCTACATACAGCTTAACAGATCATCCCTCTGTGGCTTAAGCTCTAAATGTCCCCTGTCCCACTAAAAAGTTCCCCGTTTTAGAAAATCACCTGATATTTATGATTAATGCCCTTAGGCTTATTGATCACAATCTCAATGGTCTACCAGGCTACTCCCATCATTGTTCCTGGGTTGCTGACTCCACCCAAGTCACCAGGCCACAGAGAAGGCTTCATGCAGACCCCTGGAACCATCATGCAGCCTTTAGAGCAGCGGACCCCTTTCATAGGGGTCGCCTAAGACCATCGGAAAACATATTTTCGATGGTCTTAGGAACCGAGACACCGCTCCTCTATCCGTCTCCAGGCCCACATGCAGATACGCCCACATACGAGTACCTGGCGACCCCTGTGAAAGGGTTGTTCGACCCTCAAAGGGGTCGCGACCCACAGGTTGAGAACCGCTGCTCTAGAGGAATGCCCAGATTTTCCCTTAAATATCCCAGGCTGGTCTGAGAATGTTAAGGCAGTTTTTGGAGGTGTTGACCTGCTGCCTTCTCAGACCACCAACCGGTACTCTGATAAACGCTTATTCTATGGCCCAACTCCTGTGCTGATCTATTGGCTGAGCAGCGCAGGCAGCAATGCGCACTGGACTCATTTGGCCTCCAGTTTCAAGAGGACTGATTTAGAGTGAAGGATGATAATAGTTACTGTTATTCCTACCATAAGGATCACCCCCATAGAAATCGCCAATATTTGCTCTTCACCTGAAATAACCCAGTCTCGTCTTTTAACCAAAAGCCATGTCCCTACCGACGTCTCTCACACTGGTTACATTTTTCTGGACTTTGGATGACAGAACCCTGTTAAATACCAGGAATAAGACTAAGTAAATATGTTATATGGGCCGGCCGAGTGGCTCAGTTGGTTAAGAGCTCGCTCAAGAGTTTGAGCTCTGAGCAACAGCGTCGCCGGTTTGATTCCCGGCCCAAGCTGAGCTGCCAATAGGTGGCAGGATGGGTCAGCTAAAAAAAAAAAAAAAGAAAAAAGAAAACAGTCACACTACCATAGCCGCCTGCTTTCTGAGGGCTGGCATAGGGAGATAGGACTGAGACTGGAATCGGGGAAGGTTTTGATTTTAAAAATTCTTTATATGGGCCGGCCGAGTGGCTCAGTTGGTTAAGAGCTCGCTCAAGAGTTTGAGCTCTGAGCAACAGCGGTTCGAGTCCAGCCCGAGCTGAGCAGCCGCTGAGCTGCCAATAGGTAGCAGGATGGCTCAGCTAAAAAAAAAAAAAAAGAAAAAAGAAAACAGTCACACTACCATAGCCGCCTGCTTTCTGAGGGCTGGCATAGGGAGATAGGACTGAGACTGGAATCGGGGAAGGTTTTGATTTTAAAAATTCTTTCCTTGGGCTGGCGGAGTGACTCAGTTGGTTAAGAGCTCGCTCTAAGAGTTTGAGTTCTGAGCAACAGCGGATGGATGCCTGGCCTGAGCTGAGCTGCTGCTGAGCTGCCAACAGGTGGCAGGATGGCTCAGCTAAATAAATAAATAAAAATTCCTCACCTACAGTTCATTTTTTCTCTGAATACCTCAGCTCCCCCAAATTTCCTTTGGCTACCCAAAAATGGCTTCCTCCAGGGATGGCACTCCACTCTCTTCACTAATTCTACAATTCTCAGCCTGAACTCCTTGAGCTTACAAAGTGATTCTTTTCAAAGTGCTCTGTGCGACGGTATACAGGTAATAACATTTTATGTTGACTTCTTAATAAAACACCTACTCAAGAACCTTGACTGATCTAGCCATAGGAACTCCTACTTTCTCCAATGTTATTTCAGGACATTTTCTATGCTCTATCTCTCATCAAAGGTGTTGGGAGGTCCTTGCCAATCTCCACCCTTTTCCATCCACCCTCCACATCCCCTGCCACCACCCCCACACCTCCCAAGTAGTAGTATTGGCTGCTGGCTTGAAGAGCCACTATTATCTGCACATGATAGTCACAAATGCTGCTGCATCTCTAAGGGTCCTGTAGCAATGATATAGCCCCTTGAACATTGATTTATGTGGTGGCTAGAGTCCACAGCGCTGCAGCTCAACAAATGAGAAGGTTGAAGTGCTTTTACAAGCTGCCCTGGAAGCCTAAGCATCTCTCAGATCTCCATTAGGGAATTTCCTCATGGCAAGGTCTACCTGTATGGGCCATTTTCGGAATACTGAATTTTCTTCAAAGCCAAGTATTTAGTGAAAGGGTTGGTGGGCTTTGAGTACACATGAGCTCACCAAGTGCTTTTATGTAAGTAATGTTCATTGGTTTTTTTCTTTTACTGTTTTAGTTGTTGAAGTGAAATTCACAAGGCAGAAAATAGCCATTTTATACAATTCAGTGGAATGTAGTACGTTCACAACGTTGTGCAACCATCACCTCAACCGAGTTCTAAAACATTTTCGTAACCCATAGATGCAACTGAGTTTTAGAGGGGCTCACTCTCCAAGCCTTGGGGATTGTGCCAGGCCTTTTCCAACAAGGACGCTGTGGAGATTACTTCTGGGATGTTAGCAGCTAGAGCAAGGGAGGAGGCCTACAGTAGGTCCTCCCAGTCAGGGCTGCAGTTTTCTTCCCTCTGTTTTAAATTAACAGGTAATACTAAACCTTTTACATCAATCCTATTGTTTATCTGACATAACTGTTTAGGACTGAACATGGTAAAGGTAAAAGGGGTATGGATTGTAAAACCTAGGGCAGAAACATAATCCTAGAAGGAGGCATGCATAAACAAGCCCTATGGACTTGGGGCAGAAACCTGTAAAACCTGACATGGCATCCGGATGAAACTTCACTGCTGAACTGGAGCTTATTTTTAACCTATAAGGAATTTTACTTAAGACAGTAGTTTTTAAGTCTCCCCATATGTTTACCTGTGAGTCAACCACTTCCTAAACTCAGTGTGGTGGAATGAGGGTTAATAAACATATAAAAGGCCCCAGTACAGTGCCTGGCACATTAGAGCCCTAAAACATTGGAGTCCTCCTGCTGGGGCACCAAACTCTCAATGACACCACCCTAAGGCACTCACTGCGGGGACTTAAAATGTAGTTCATGACTGCTCTAAATGTGGCATTTCTATCTTAGCCTCCTGTCGTAAATGAGAACTATAAACTGGGGCTTGAGTCAAACACTTCCATTTAAAATATGAGAAGTAGGGGGGCCAGCCGAGTGGCTCAGTTGGCTTAAGAGCGCGAGTTCTGAGGAACAGGGCCGCTAGTTTGATTCCCACATGGCCCAGTGACGCTGCGCCCGGACAAAGCTGTTGTTGAGCTGCCAACAGGTGGCAGGATGGCTCAGCTGGTGTAACAGGATGGTGGGCTATGCCTACCTGCAACTAAAAATGAACTCGGCAACTTGAGCTGAGCTGACGCCCAGATGGCTCAGTGGATAGAGCGTGCGCTCTTAACAACCTGCTGGTTCGACTCCTGCATGGGATGGTGGCTACTCCCACCGGCAACTAAGACTGAACACAGCACCTTGAGCTTAGAGGTCACGAGCTGCGGACAGGCAGCTAGATGGCGACTGGCACCCTCTACAACAAAGTCTGAAGAACAGCACCTTGGCTGGTCCCCTTCCCCAACAGTCCTCCTCCCCCAATTCCCCAATAAAATCTTTAAAAACAAAACTATGCGAGCAGTAGGGATAAGGGTTAACGCACTTGTGCCTCAGCAAGCCAGTGCTTTAACTCCCATCTACCTCCTTACTTCTAATTTAGGCCTTACCTGCCCTTTCATGCTGAACCCCAATTAAATATCAGGGCTTTGGTATATGGGGTGTACTTACAGAGATGAATAGCTATTACCTTCCCATCTAACTGCTTCTCTTTTGCCTCCTTCCTCAGGAACACCCACATCCCCAAGTCCCTTTTGAGGCCACACTTACAAGGAAGGCTGACCCCCCTCACCCACCTTGAGGCCTCCATGCCAGTGGGCCCTTACTTGTTCTGGACCAACAAACCCAACCCACTACAAGTAAACAGGATTTTTCTTAATGTCTTAAGGATGCCATTTGCAATAATAGCCTACTTCCCCAGATCCCTTCCTTACCTAAGAGCAAATTACCATTCAATTTTAGACACCATAAAAAACACAAACTATGCAGGCCCTTCTGACCTCAAAATAAAACAGACAGACACATCACTCGACTTTTTTTGAGTTTATTTACTTTCAAATAACAGCTCTTAAAAAAAAAATAAAAAGAAAGGCCTGAGTTGGTATGAGTATAACAAAAAAATAAAAGTTAAAAGGGACTAAAAATGGCAGTATAAACTGATTTCTAGCTTTACACAGAAAAAAAAAAAGCACGTTCGTAACTTCACCAACAGACACGTGGGTCAACTTCCCCAGCAAGTTGCAAAGTTGAGAGCAGATGAGAGGCAAATATAGGGCAATGCAGTGTTGAATCTTATCTGTCTCCAAACCATACGTGAGCAATCTGGAAAAAGCCTCCTAATCGACCTCCTCAATGGTGGGGCCAGACCCAGAGCCACCAGCCCCGGGGCCACCCGCCCCCTGGTACAGTCCGCTGATGATGGGGTTACACACCTGCTCCAGCTCCTTCCTCTTGTGCTCAAACTCCTCCTTCTCCGCTAGGGTGTTGGCGTCCAGCCAGGAAATCACCTCCTGGCACTTGTCCAGCACCTTCTTCTTGTCCGCCTCGCTGATCTTGCCCTTGAGCCCTTCATCCTCCACAGCGCTCTTCATGTTGAAGGCGTAGGACTCCAAGGCGTTCTTGGCAGACACCTTCTCGCGCTGCACCTCGTCCTCGGCTTTGTACCTCTCGGCCTCCTGCACCATGCGCTCGATCTCCTCCTTGCTCAGGCGGCCCTTGTCGTTGGTGATGGTGATCTTGTTGGCCTTGCCCGTGCTCTTGTCCATGGCCGTGACGTTCAGGATGCCGTTGGCGTCGATGTCAAAGGTCACCTCGATCTGGGGCACGCCCCTGGGGGCCGGGGGGATGCCACTCAGGTCGAAGCGCCCCAGCAGGTTGTTGTCCTTCGTCATGGCCCTCTCGCCCTCGTACACCTGGATCAGCACCCCGGGCTGGTTGTCCGAGTAGGTGGTGAAGATCTGCGTCTGCTTGGTGGGGATGGTGGAGTTGCGCTTGATCAGGGCGGTCATCACGCCCCCGGCCGTCTCCAGCCCCAGCGACAGGGGAGCCACGTCCAGCAGCAGCAGGTCCTGCACGTTCTCAGACTTGTCCCCCATCAGGATGGCCGCCTGCACCGCCGCCCCGTAGGCCACCGCTTCGTCGGGGTTGATGCTCTTGTTGAGGTCGCGCCCGTTGAAGAAGTCCTGCAACAGCTTCTGCACCTTGGGGATGCGGGTGGAGCCCCCCACCAGGACCAGGTCGTGGATCTGGGCCTTGTCCAGCTTGGCGTCACGCAGGGCCTTCTCCACCGGCTCCAGGGTGCCACGGAACAGGTCCGAGCACAGCTCCTCGAACCGGGCCCTGGTGATGGACGTGTAGAAGTCGATGCCCTCGAACAGGGAGTCGATCTCCAGGCTGGCCTGCGTGCTGGACGACAGGGTCCTCTTGGCCCGCTCGCAGGCGGTGCGCAGCCGCCTCACGGCTCGCTTGTTCTGGCTGATGTCCTTCTTGTGCTTCCTCTTGAACTCCTCCACGAAGTGGTTCACCAGCCTGTTGTCAAAGTCCTCCCCTCCCAGGTGGGTGTCCCCCGCCGTGGACTTCACCTCGAAGATGCCGTCGTCGATCGTCAGGATGGACACGTCGAACGTGCCCCCGCCCAGGTCGAAGATGAGCACGTTGCGCTCCCCCTTGCCCGTCCGGTCCAGGCCGTAGGCGATGGCGGCCGCCGTGGGCTCGTTGATGATCCTCAGCACGTTCAGCCCCGCGATCACCCCCGCATCCTTGGTGGCCTGGCGCTGCGAGTCGTTGAAGTAGGCCGGCACGGTGATCACCGCGTTGGTCACCGGGTAGCCCAGGTACGCCTCGGCGATCTCCTTCATCTTGGTCAGCACCATGGACGAGATCTCCTCGGGGTAGAACGCCTTCGTCTCCCCCTTGTAGCTCACCTGCACCTTGGGCTTCTCGCCGTCGTTGATCACCTGGAAAGGCCAGTGCTTCATGTCCGACTGCACCACCGGGTCGCCGAACTTGCGGCCGATCAACCGTTTGGCGTCGAACACGGTGTTCTGCGGGTTCAGCGCCACCTGGTTCTTGGCCGCATCCCCGATCAGCCGCTCGGTGTCGGTGAAGGCCACGTAGCTGGGGGTGGTGCGGTTGCCCTGGTCGTTGGCGATGATCTCCACCTTGCCGTGCTGGAACACCCCCACGCACGAGTAGGTGGTGCCCAGGTCGATGCCGATGGCCGTGGTTTTCGCCATGCCGGTGTCCTGCTCTGTCGCGCCGCGCTGAGGTTCGGGCCTGGAGAACCGCGGCCTGGGTCCGCGACGAGAAGCTCGGTCCTCTCCGAACCGGAAACTGAACGCCGCCGCCGCAGGGGCTGGTCCGAGGAGGCGCTGGGTCTGTGGAAGCCGCGCTCAGGAACAGCTGACGACACCGTGACAACTATCTCGTCTCCGCAGGCTCGCCGTTTCTCCGCGGCCGCGGCTCCGCATTTGTAATTCTTCATCGAGCCCCTCCTTCCCCCGGCTCACCCAATCACCGAGCTCGGCGGGGCTGCCTGGTCGGGAACATTCCAGGGAGTTCTCCTTTTGTCCTGCCCCCAGGCTGACTTGGTCCAATCAGCGTCCTGGATGCCGCCCCTCTGCGTATTCTCCTGGCTCTTCTGGAACTTGCTGGGCTGAGGAGGGGTGGACGGTTGTGGGGGTGGGAGGAGCCTGTTGGTCTTGGGGTCCGCGGGTCCGCGGGGACTGGCCTGGTGAAGCTGGGAAGGGGGCGGGGCTGACGGTGTTGACGCCTCTTCCCTTTGTCGCGTTACAATGGCAATGCAATCTCTGATCTCATGGCTAATGTGGAATCTGGTTAAAAGTATAGCAGCCGGCTCATAGTTGTTGGAAGGGCAGGTGGGGGGCGGGGGGTTGGGGGGCACCGGCTGCGCAGTGTGGGTGTTGAGGGATCCTCACCGACAGTCTGAACTTGACCAAACTGGAACAAAGGCGGCGGCAAGAGAATAGGTGAAAAAGGAGGGTTGATTTCAATGAGGTGGGAATAGGCAAGACTGGCAGGTCCTAGTTTGAGCAAGTGCTGCAAGGGTCCCTAGTTCAAGTGTGAGGTATGGGATGTTGGCCAACCAGGGAAGAGAGATTCTTTGAGGAGTTCAAGGTGGATGAGACTGGAAAGATGTGGAGGAGTTGGTCTGTTATTGTCTCCACATAACAGGATTTTATTGGGTAGATTAGACAGAGACTGCCTGGAGCCTGCCACCTCACCTGAGAAAACTTGTGAGGGTTTGAGTGGATTTCTGGCAGCCCAAATTCTCTCCCACAAATTCCTGGTAGAAGGCAGCTAAATCCACGTGTGGAGATTGGCTTGTGCAGAGACTAGAATGTAAAATAATCTTAGTTCAGCACAAGACAGTTACAATCTCACAATAAAAAATATCACAGACATAGGACAGGACATTTGAGTCAGGACCCGTGAAAATTGAAAATAGTTACACCCACTGCCTTCCCACTTCCAGGTGGTTAAGAATACTATTGTCTACCTGTTGAAAAGGCATGGAAGCATCTGGAAGAGACACTTGTACACCAAAAGGATACTTGTACACCAAGTTCATGGCAGCATTGTTGACAATAGCCATGAGGTATAAGCCAACCAAGTGTCCATGAAGGGAGTAAGTGAATAACATGTGGATACATGTTGGAATATTATTCAGCCTTAAAAGGGAAGGAAAATTAGATACATGCTATAACATAGATGAACTTTGATATTATGCTAAGTGAAATAATCCAGTCACAAAAAGAAAAATAATGTATAATTCCACTAATGTGAGCTACCCAGCGTAGTTGAAATCATAGAGAGAGATAGTAGAGTGGTGGTTTCCAGGGGCTGGTGAAAGTTGGGGGAAGGAGAGTTGTTTAATGGGCATAGAATTTCAGTTTTGCAAGATAAAGAGTTCTGGAGATTGGTTGGACAATAATGTAAATGGACTTACTAGTGAGCTGTACACTTAAAAATGGTTAAGATAGTAAATTTCATGTTATGTATTTTTTAGCTTGATTAAAAATAATAAAATAAAAATTATTCTGCCAAGACTTTATCTCATTTTTTTCTCAATAGGCCTCGGAAAAACATGGCTGCTGCTAAGGGAATGGCCATCGGCATCGACCTGGGCACCACCTACTCGTGCGTGGGGGTGTTCCAGCACGGCAAGGTGGAGATCATCGCCAACGACCAGGGCAACCGCACCACCCCCAGCTACGTGGCCTTCACCGACACCGAGCGGCTGATCGGGGATGCGGCCAAGAACCAGGTAGCCATGAATCCCCAGAACACTGTCTTTGATGCCAAACGTCTGATCGGCAGAAAATTTAATGATCCTGTAGTGCAATCAGATATGAAACTTTGGCCTTTTCAAGTAATCAATGAAGGAGGCAAGCCCAAGGTGTTGGTGTCCTACAAAGGAGAGAAAAAAGCTTTCTACCCTGAGGAAATCTCTTCTATGGTACTGACTAAGATGAAGGAGACTGCTGAGGCTTTTTTGGGCCACCTTGTCACCAATGCTGTGATCACTGTGCCAGCCTATTTCAATGACTCTCAACGCCAGGCCACCAAGGATGCAGGTGTAATTGCAGGTCTTAATGTGCTAAGAATTATTAACGAACCCACAGCTGCTGCTATTGCGTATGGCTTAGATAAAGCAGGTCAGGGAGAACACCAAGTCCTAATCTTTGATCTGGGTGGAGGCACATTTGATGTTTCCATCCTGACCATAGATGATGGGATTTTTGAGGTGAAGGCCACCGCGGGGGACACCCACCTGGGAGGGGAGGACTTTGACAACAGGCTGGTGAACCACTTCGTGGAGGAGTTCAAGAGGAAGCACAAGGAGGACATCAGTCAGAACAAGCGAGCCGTGAGGCGGCTGCGCACCGCCTGCGAGAGGGCCAAGAGGACCCTGTCATCCAGCACTCAGGCCAACCTGGAAATTGATTCACTTTATGAAGGAATTGACTTCTACACATCCATTACCAGAGCTCGGTTTGATGAGTTGTGTGCAGACCTGTTTAGGGGCACTCTGGAGCCTGTGGAGAAGGCTCTTCGGGATGCCAAGATGGATAAGGCTAAAATTCATGACATTGTTTTAGTAGGGGGCTCCACCCGCATACCTAAGGTTCAGAGGCTGCTGCAGGACTACTTTAATGGCCGTGAACTTAACAAGAGCATCAACCCTGATGAGGCAGTGGCCTATGGGGCTGCAGTACAAGCAGCCATTTTGATGGGGGACAAGTCTGAAAAGGTACAGGACCTGCTTTTGTTGGATGTGGCTCCCCTGTCGCTGGGGCTGGAGACGGCCGGGGGCATGATGACCGCCCTGATCAAGCGCAACTCCACCATCCCCACCAAGCAGACGCAGATCTTCACCACCTACTCGGACTACCAGCCCGGGGTGCTGATCCAGGTGTATGAGGGCGAGAGGGCCATGACGAAGGACAACAACCTGCTGGGGCGCTTTGACCTGAGTGGCATCCCCCCGGCCCCCAGGGGCGTGCCCCAGATCGAGGTGACCTTTGACATCGACGCCAATGGCATCCTGAATGTCACAGCCATGGACAAGAGCACAGGCAAGGCCAACAAGATCACCATCACCAACAACAAGGGCCGCCTGAGCAAAGAGGAGATCGAGCGTATGGTTCTGGATGCTGAGAAATATAAAGCTGAAGATGAGGTTCAGAAAGAGAAAATTGATGCAAAAAATGCCCTAGAATCCTATGCTTTTAACATGAAGAGTGCTGTGAGTGAAGAAGGTTTAAAGGGAAAGATTAGTGAGACTGATAAAAAGAAAATACTGGATAAATGCAGTGATGTTCTTTCATGGCTGGAGACTAATCAACAGGCTGAGAAAGACGAGATTGATCATAAGAGAAAGGAATTGGAGCAAATGTGTAACCCAGTCATCACAAAACTCTACCAGGAAGGATACACTGGGCCTGGAATGCCTGGACGGGCCGCTGCCACAGGCCCCACCATTGAAGAAGTAGATTAACCTTATCTGGAGCTGGAGGGTTCTAGAGTGCCTGGAAGGTGAATTTTGTTCCCCTCATCTTCAGACATTGTTAGGATTCTTGATTTGACTGGACCTGAACCTAAATTAACATCGTTTTGGGATTCTGATGGAAAAGTCTCATATGCCATCTTTTCATACTCCAATGTCCTGTTTTTGACTCTAGAATGAGACTCTTAGGAAAACTAGGCACCTCTTTGAACCATTTGATGAATTTGAATGTCTGTTATTTATTTCCAGCCTCCCCAACTTCTTCTGTGTGGATGGTTGCCACTCAGTAAATTTGTTCCTAAAGCAAATTACTTCTTGTATTTTTAAACTGAGTGTATCTTGAAAAGTAAGGAAAAGGAAAGTTCATGGAGAGAGCATGTGTGATTTGATTGTGGGCTAATTATGAATGAGTAAGCTGGTAAGGGCAAAGTATTTAAATTTTCATGAGTTAATTGATTCAAGAAGGAAAATATCTTGACCATCAGGCACTTTAAGCTCCAGCTAAAGCAGTTACTAAGTATAATGACTGCTTATATTCAGTGACAGACCAGTTTAGGTAGAGTTCGGCTGGGGGTACAAACTTCTGCTTGATGTCTTGATGTCGCTTATAGGTGAGGTCTAGGAGATCCAGCTTCTGTGCACTTACATCCTTTACATGCAGAAAACATTTCTACAACAAACTCCTGACAAATGGGTAGTTTTGTACAAGATGAGAAATGGACGATTTAGTACTGTCTTATTTCTTGAAAAACTGTTTTCACCAGTTGTATTATAATATCGTATATTCATAAGTCTCAGGAACATGAGACTAGAAGTATGTGTAACTGTGCATTTGTGACCCTTTGTATTTGAGGGGCCATATTTGGATGTGAAATATTAGAATTGGTATTTCTATCCTTGAGCCAGTCTGTTTGGTTTTACTCAATCCTTCATAGGACTACCCTGGGCAAAAATGTGTAAGAAATATGGACTGAGGTTGGGTCCTTGGAAGAAATATATTTATTGGGAGGGAATCTTTGATAAAATCAACATTTGTGCTCAGGTTCCTGATCTCGGGGACTCAACGTTTTTTTCCCCTCACTATTTAAGGAAGTGTAACATATATAGAAAAGTGAAGAAATCATGAGGTTTTACAAACTCTCCAACAGTTTTCAATAGCAAGTGTCTGTAGGGGGGTGAATAAATCATTCTGCGGACTGCACTGTCGCAGTAAACAGCAAAAACCTCCGAAAGGCAAGAGCCTCCCCGACCCTAAGGCAGCAACTCACGCCGCGCCTGCGCGTGGAGCCAGCCGCTCCGGGAGGAAGTCGGGAGACAGGAAGCCCCGCCCCCTCCCGGCGTTGGTGTTCCTTTCTCTCTACCCCCCGCGCTCTTCCGAGCTCGGGGCTCGCCGTGCGCCCTTCTTCAGTACTCCGAGCTTGCCGCGGTGTTTCCCGCCCCACTCCGCCCCGCCCCACTCCACGCGCGGGCTCACGCTCGGCGGCACCAGGCCCTCGCCTTCCCGGTCCAGGCGGCAGCCCTCTGTACGAGCACTATGGTAAGTACTGTGACGTCACAAGAGGGCGCCCTCGGGGAGCACGGGCTAGTTCGATGGTGCGGGAGTAGGGGTACCGGCTTTGTCCCTCTTCGCTTCAGTTGCGTCCCGGGCTTCCCTCCATCCATAGTTCCTGCCCCTCAGGTTCTTTGAGGAGACACTTGGGTGCACATGGGTTTGTTTGTTTTTTCTCTTATAAGGGGAAACAACACGAGGGAGAGTCGGCAGGGACAGCGGGAGAGGGAAAAAACTAAACCTCAAGGAGCATATTTCCCTGATAGAGACTAGGCTTCGGGAGTTCGGCGGCGGAAGGAGGAGGCGGGGGCGAGCAGGGGGATGTATATTCTACAGTTCCCTGGGAGAAGTGGGCAAGGACTCCAGGAGAGGCGGTGCATTTGATAGGGTAGGAAGAGAAATGAGCAGAAGGAGGGAACTAGCCCCGGTTAGGCGGCCCTTTGCAGCTGCTCGCACTTAGGGCACAAACACCAGGCTATTGAGAACAAGATATGTCGTTAGGAGAGGGAAAAATGCTGGAGAGAGAGAGAAACCATCCCACTTTATCAGAATGTACATCCTGCTTCAAAACCATTTTTAATGAGATACTTAAATAAATCATGGGAAATGAATAGGTTCATGCTTACGCTGTGAGTAACAACCTTGAGAACCAGAGAGGAGGACAGGACACCTTAGCAGAGAAAGAAAAAGATAACAGAGGGGGAGGGGGAGACAGTTCTACCCACAGAGGTAAAAACCCTCACACATTGTATGGGGAGGCTGCTTCCCTCTTTCGGGTCAGCCTGCCCCATGTCTCGGAGTGTACTCGGTTTTACTAATTAATAAACTTAAAGCTGTCCTGTGCCGCACAAACTCTGCCTCTTGACTGAATTATTTCTTTCAAGAAGACAGAGTTGAGGTACAATGTCATTTCCGGTAACAGATTGAGAGATGAGTGGAGTGCCTAAGGGGTGCAGGGCAGAGCCTTTTCATGGCTTTATGTCAGGGGCTCAGTGAATTGTGTAGAATCATTTGGGCTCTAGCCTTTCATCCCTGTCACCAAGTATTCTTTTGTGTGAACTTTTGAGAACTGCCAGAGATGTGGCAGGGTTCCCAGTATCAGTATGTGGTAATAGTGCCAGAAGGACACTCCCCCCTACCATGTCCCTTCCCATATGATGGATGGTTTTTCCTCTCTTGCCCAATAGCTCTTCTATTCCTTTTTCAAATCCCTTGTGGGCAAGGATGTGGTCGTGGAACTCAAGAATGACCTGAGGTAGGTACTTATTCCAACATGCCTGAAGGGGGTGGCTGTGCCCAGGGCCCTGGAACCTCTTTAATTTGACAAGTAGTTAAGGCTGGGCAAGGTGGGAGAGATACAGAAGAAATAAATGACTTGTGCTTTAAGCTGACAGGTTAGCTGGGGAGTTGCATTTTGTATTGGAAAACAAAACCAAGAAGTATATATATGAAGAGTAAGTACAGAGAAGTCAGAGGGCGTAGGCATCGATAACATTTTTTATAAAACATAGTTTTGTTTTTTCTGATTAAATTATATACTCCTTTGACCCAACCTCTAGAAAAGTAAGAATTAGTTCCACAAGTAAAGATGTATCTACAGATGTTTGTAGTTTTATTTGCAGTAGCCCAAAATTGAAAACAAATAGCTATCAATAGGGAGTGAGTTAATGAAATTGTGGTACTTCCATATTATACAGCTGTCACATAGGAGAGAGATGTATTGACATGGAAAGCTGTTGCAGAATAGTATATGTAGCATAATCTCCCTTTTGTTAAAGAAAATGTAAAAGATAAACAGAAGATCAGTGCTGTCCCTTCTGTCTGTACTGCTTTTACATTCCCTACCCCTTTGTATCATTAGCTCCTAACTATCTTTCAAGACTTAGATTAAAATGCTGTCTCCTTGGAGAGACTTTTCCTGGTCCTTCTAGCCAATAGACCCTTCTGTCATAGAGTCTTTTTTCTTCCTAGTAGGTGCTTCTTTTTTTTTAAAGATTTTATTGGGGAATTGGGGGAGGGGAACAGTGCTGGGGAATTGGGGGAAGGGGAACAGACAAGTTGCTGTCCTTTTGTTCTTCAGTCTAGTTGTGGAGGATGTCGCTTCACTGGCCCATGTTGGTATTATTGTGCTCTTCCCGGCTGAGGCAGATCAGTTGACAGCCTCTGGACGGCCGCTCACAGCGGCTGCTGGCCACTCACGCTGGCTGTTGGCCACATATGGTAGCTTATGGCAGCCCACTGCAGCAGGGGCTGCAGCCTACACCGTCGCGGGTGACTCACGGCAGCCCAGCTCCAGGTTGAGCTGTTGTTCACCATCTTAGCTGTAGAGGGCAGTGTCACTGGCCCTCATGTGGGATCCGAACCGGGGCCCTGCTGCTCAGAGCTGGCGTCCCAAGCCAGCTCTTAACCAACGCACCACTCGGCCGGCCCTAGTAGGTGCTTCTTAAAATATGCTTTCAGAGAAATATATTTACTGTTTATGGCCTGTCCTCCCTACAGGGCCAGGACCATGTTAAGCTCACCATTGTGTACCTGATGTCTAACATAGGCCTGGTATGTAGTAGGAGCTTAATAAATGTGTGCTGAAAGGAGGAAAAGTAGCTAACATTTGAGAACCCTCTACTAAGCAAGCACTATTCTGAATACTTTACATGTATTAACTCATTTAATTCTCATAACACCCCAATATGACATATACTATTGTTGCTGTTTTACACTTGAGGAAACTGAAGCTTATATAGGTTAAGAAACTTGCTCAAGTCTGTACAACTAGTAAATGACACAGCCAGAACTGAAGTCTAATTCTGCCTGGCTTTTTTTTTTTTAAGTTAAAAACAGGGTTATATTCTCTATGCAGTTGTGAAACTTTCTTTTCACTTAACAGATGTTGTAGATATTTTCCATGTCAATAAAGTTGATGACCTTTAATCTTCTTATGTCTGAATGGCATCTTTATTAGCTGGCTGGAACTAATTTAACCAAGGCCTTGCTATTGGACACTTAGACTGTTTCCAATTCTTTAGAAAAAAATCCTTTAAATGAGATGTACATTTAAAATACTGATACCTATTACCTGATTGTCCTTTAGAAAGTTTGAATCAGCAGTGTTTTCCACATTTCTATGTATGATAACTTCTTAGTGGAGGAAACATTGACATGACAGAGAAAGGTGAAGAGAGGGATTTGCCTTTTAGATCAGAGATTTCCATTTATGACACTGGCAATGCATATGGTATTGATGGCATATAGATTAGGGCCATGTAGAGAGCCAAAACCAAACCTAGGCAATTCTCTGAGATGACATGTTTTTTATTTTCCTCTTTTCTCCTTCCTGGGCCTTCCACGTGGCAAAAACAACTGTTATGTTTTAGCCCCAGGTCCTAAAGAAAGGACTATAAAGATTTGAAGGGAGTCCATTGGGTGGGAGAAGAGCTCTTTCTCTCAGTCTTGTCATCAGACCACTTTTGTGCCAAATACCTCATGAACGAAATAATACCACCTTATACAATTCCTGAATGTTATCTCACTGCTGCGGATGGTGGTAAGGTACTGTCAAAGGCTTTCAGCAGCCAGAGATATGGTGAAACCACTACTGAGGCAGTAGGTCTCAGACACTGGATTTCAGAGACTTAGAATTTTAGGAAAATTAGGGTCCAACAGAGAACTGCCAACTTTATTTTTGGCAAGATAAGGACATTTTTTAAAAACTTCCATTTATTACAATAATTACATTAAAAAAATTTTAATACAAAAAAATAGGAAGACCAAAGAATACTCATTTTTAGGAAGAAAACTGACAACCTTTAGCACACTAAATATACACTCCACACACACTACACTAGCATGTATTTCCTCTTGCCATGGACTCCTAAAACCTTTGAGCACACATCAGTGTTTGAGAACCATGGTTCTAAGGAACTTAGAATCTGGTGAAGACACGCAGGATGGTTAGGATGAAGGTGACTAGGTGGAGTGTGGCCTGGATTGAGGTGCAAAGTAATATGACCTTGGTTTGTAGAAGTCAAAACTGGAAAGACAATTATAGAAATATTAGAAAGACATCAGCAAACAGTGGGGATTCATGGGACATGGAGGGTGGAGAATACAACTCACGGAATTTGAGGTTGTGAGACAGTGGTGAAGCCACTGGCAGAAATTAAAGAAGTTGGGGCAGAGAGAGGCAGCAGGGCTTGGAGCACTGGTGTTTTGATAGCATTCCTCAACATTTCAGGGTCTCAAGGATCGGGGAAGGGATACGACGTCCCTTATGCATTCATCATCAAGAACAATGATAGCTACTTTTACAGATGGGGCTCTGGTTCCAAAGCAATAAGTGTTTGAAAATAGCCGATGGTTCTGGGGGTCAGGCAGATGTGGACTGAGTCTCTGTTTATTTGTTTAAACTTGGGCAAGTAACACAACCTCTCTGAGCCCCTGGGTGGTAATAGCTACTTTGTAAAGTAGCTACAAGAGTATAAAGTGGCTATAAAAATTACAAAAATCTGTGCAGAATGTAGGTGAAATACAAGTCGAGTGCGTAACAGTTGCTTAATGGTAGCTATTAATGGTGGGTTGGTTTAGGGAGAGGAGATGTGCAGTCTAAAATAACACATTGCTCTAGCAGCACTGTCGTTCCTATCCTAGGGCTTAGGAATGCCCTATTTTGGTTCAACCTGTTCTGGCTTCCTCAAGTTCTTGACTTCCCCCAACCATGCGATTATCTCTGAGGTCACCTCTATGTTGACTTTGGTGTAAACTAATTTGCTTCTTCCTTCCCTCTGCCCCTGACAGCATCTGTGGAACCCTCCATTCTGTGGATCAGGTGAGACAAAGCAAGAGACCAGAATCCGGTCTTGGGGAAGGAGAAGGGGAGAGCTGAAGGTTGGGTACTTGGATCTTGTCTCTAGAGCTAATGATGCTGTTCATCGTTTTTTAGTATCTCAACATCAAATTAACTGACATTAGTGTCACAGACCCTGAGAAATACCCTCACATGGTGAGTTGGGGATGGTGGAAAAGAGGAAACACCTCTAAAAGCAGGAGGCCCCTGGGTAGGGAAAGGACATTTTTAAGAGTGTTTTCACATTTGCCTAACTTTGTCTAGTTATCAGTGAAGAACTGCTTCATCCGGGGCTCAGTGGTTCGCTATGTGCAGTTGCCAGCAGATGAGGTCGACACACAGTTGCTACAGGATGCAGCGAGGAAGGAGGCCTTGCAGCAGAAACAGTGATGGCGCCTCTGCTCCCCTTCCCTCTTCCATTGGAGCGCCTTTACCTCATGTCCCAGACCAGGACCCCTTCCCTCATACTTTAGGTGTTGTGGGTTTTTTTAATAGTGAAAGCACTTTTTTTTTTCCCCCCCCCCAAGGAATAAGGGAATGAGAGAATAGTGGGGAGCCGCTATCCTCTGTTGAGGAGTGGATAAGTAGTCTGGGGAACTGCAAAGCCTTTCTTGTCACCAGCACCTGCCTTTTTTACTTCTTCCCTGGAGATGGTGGGAACATCTTCTAGATATCTCCAGGGCAGCATGTGATTCATTTTGGGGATGGAAGGAATCTGTCCCGCATCGGGAATAAAATTTATGATGCAAACTTGAGTTCTGGTTGTGTGTGTGTGTTTTGGGGAGGCTGGAGGGTGGGAAAGGGATGTTGAACTCACGCAAGCCCTGCTACTCTGCATTGCTCCAGCCAAGAATCCAGCCCAGCTCACCAGCATTATGTGCCACCCCTGTCGTTGGTATAAACTATGTAAGACCTCCACTTGGCTACACCATGTTTCCTGAACATGTCCCTATCTACATGGCCTTTTGCTCACACTACACCTACAGTGAGTGCTTGCTGTCCTTTCGTAATGTGACAGTGTTAAATGAGACACCAGAATGCATTTGATGCTGGATTTCTTATGCAACCCAGCCAAATTAGTACACCCTAAATAAAGCCAGTAATCACAAGTGACAATTTTTATTGTGGAGAGTTGGGTAGGAATTAGGTCTTCATTCGCTCATTCCCGCTACAGACAGATGAGGCTTTGCATGAAGGGATCTTAGAGGCCATCCGGCGTGCCTCCCTCCCTCTTCTCAATAGGAAATGAGGTTGGCCGCCCCGGGCCTTGCCAAGATGGTCCTTCCTGTGCGGCAGCACTCTTCCAAGGCCGCTTCCGCCGCTACCTGCTGTGGGCTGCGGTCCTGCCCGAGGACCCGTGCGGGCTGCCCGCGGCGGCGCCTGACGGGAGCGCAGTCCGGGGACGTCCTCGCGTCCTGTGCGTGCGCCCCGCGCCCTTGCTCCTGAGCTCAGCCTGCGGAAGGCGGCGCAACCGCCGGACCAGTGTCGCGCAGGGTGGCAGCTGCATATGCAGGCGGGACACAGCCGCCTGCGCCAGGACCCGCGGGCCCGGAAATGCTCATTGTCACAAAGGGGGCAACACGTGGGCGCTGAGGGCCAGTGCGGCGGTCGCAAGGAGCCAGAGTCACCGGGAGAACCGCCCACCGTCCCGGCCGCCCGACACCTCGGCGGGTCCAGCTTCGGCCGGCTGCCGGCTGTGAGGTGGATGTCCGGCTCCGTCTGATCACCTCCCTCCAGTACGTACACGCGGCCGAAACCCGCGTCCTACCGGACTCCGAGGGCCTCCTCGGAGCTTCCCACTCTCCCCGAGTACCCCAATGTTACTGCCATTCTGAGAGCCGGACCCTCGGCTGTTGAGGCCGGATCATACCCCTCAGTCCTGGGGGCCTCGTGCACCTGCGGTAAAGGATCCCCATTGGGGGTCCCCTCTCTCCTCAAAGAAGATTCCTCTGGTCCCTCCGTCTTCCCCATCTCTCTTTCTCCTTAGGTCTTTTCCACCTGGTTTGGACCTCTGCATAACCATGTCCATCCTCTACGTCTCCCCTCACCCCGACGCCTTCCCCAGCCTCCGAGCTCTCATAGCTGCGCGCTATGGGGAGGCTGGGGAGGGCCCGGGGTGGGGAGGGGCCCACCCCCGCATCTGTCTCCAGCCGCCCCCGACGAGCAGGACTCCCTTTCCCCCACCCCGCCTGCCCGCCCTGGAGCAGGGGCCCGGTGGGCTCTGGGTGTGGGGGGCCACGGCTGTGTCCCAGCTGCTGTGGCCAGCAGGCCTGGGGGGCCCTGGGGGCAGCCGGGCAGCCGTCCTCGTCCAACAGTGGGTCAGTTACGCCGACACAGAGCTGATACCAGCTGCCTGTGGGGCAACGCTGCCTGCCTTGGGACTCCGCAGCGCAGTCCAGGACCCCCAGGTAAGTGGAGAGAAGAGGGGAGGGGGAAACTTAGAATAAGGAAGCAAGAATTGAAATGGATAATTAGGAAGATAGCGTGTCAGATGTCAAAAAAGACTGATCAGTTTTCAGATTGCCACCTGGCATAGCAACGTCTGTGAGCCTTCGTCTTTCTAATGTCTATGAAAAGTTTAGTTTTTACGTTGAGGAATGTGTCAAGAACATGTTGAGAAGATGAAAAGATGTGTGCAGAGCACATAGTCTAGTGCCTTTAAAGTCTCTGAGTAAAAGTTTAATGAGTCTGAAATGTAGGGAAAGACTGGATGAAAGGGAGAGGAGAGGCAGGTAGGGCCAGGAGACATGATGATGCTGGGAGGAGATGAAGGAGAAAAAAGGAGGGGAAGTAAGGGAAAGGACAGTAACCACACCAGATTGTGATTAAGGCCTTCCAGAGTAGGGCTGTGCCTTAGGGTCCTTATTACACTGCCTCCTTGCAGCATATTGAGCACATGGTGGATACTTAGTATTTCTTGAATGAATGAAATGAATATGTGACTTAGACCCTGGCTTGCTCCCTCATATCCTGATTACCCTATCTAAAATAGAGGTCCCCTTTTTAGAATTCCCTGTCCCCCTCATCCTGATTTATTTTTCTTCATAGCACTTAAGGAGAAAAATAGGGTAGTGCATTATATACTTGCGCATTTATTGTCTCCCCCATTAGAATATAAACTCCACCAGGTCAGGGGTTCCATCTATTCAAGTTTTCTCCTCATTCCTTAGAGAAGTACCTGGTATGTAGTAAGTGCTTAATAAATATTTGTTGAAACAATCATTGTGTTGCCTCATGTAATCTTTACTCTAAACTTCCTGTACTTGATATAGTGCATCTGACACATAGTAGGTGTTCAGTAGGAATTCACTGAATGAATGCGAAGTATTTTTATTTATGGCCATTTCAGTGAAGATGAAACTGGCCTCAGAGGTCATGATCCGTGGGAGTGGAAGGAGACCAAGCTTTGTCTCATACTCCTTCCCCTTCCTGCTAGGCTGCGCTGGGGGCCCTGGGAAGGGCCCTGAGCCCCTTGGAAGAGTGGCTTCGGCTGCACACCTACCTGGCCGGGGAGGCCCCCACTCTGGCTGACCTGGCGGCTGTCACAGCCTTGCTGCTGCCTTTCCGATATGTGAGTCACTAGGGCCTAGGGAAAACGAGGGCAGCTCCCCTCAGACTCCCTGGAGGGTGACTAAGCATAGTCCATTTATTTACCCCATCCCAGGTCCTGGACCCCTCTGCCCGCCGGATCTGGGGTAATGTCACCCGCTGGTTTATCACATGTGTCCAGCAGCCAGAATTCCGGGCCGTGCTGGGAGAGGTGGTTCTGTACTCGGGGGCCAGACCTCTTTCCCAACAGCCAGGTGAGGAAGGGCGGGGATAGGAGGAGAGGGTTTCCTTGGGGTCTTCTATGCAGCTCACTTTTTTCACTTAGAAATGACAGAATCACCGGGGCAGGGGCCTGCGGGAGGGTAAGGTGGGAGGTCAGCACAGAGGAGCCCTTGGGCAGCTGAAATAGCCCATCTGAGACAGAACACGTTTACAGAGGGCCCCCAGCAGGCTAAGTCTGCGTGTCTCTGCCTCTTACCAGGCCCTGAGGTCACTGCACCCCCAAAGACAGCCGCTCAACTCAAGAAAGAGGCAAAGAAACGGGAGAAACTAGAGAAATTCCAGCAGAAGCAGAAGATCCAACAGCAGCCACCCGCAGGGGAGGTGAGAGGCTATGGGTGGAGCTGGACAGGAGATTGGTTCCAAGGTGGGGTGGCTGATACCTGCACCTATATACTTTCCCTCCCAAGCAGAAGAAACCAAAACCAGAGAAAAGGGAGAAACGAGATCCTGGAGTCATTACATATGACCTCCCAACCCCACCTGGGGAAAAGAAAGGTACTAGGAGGGGGGAGGGACCCAACCCTTCACCTCCACACTCCTCAGCCGCTGCTGCTTGTTTTTACCCCTTATTGCTTTGTCCTTGCTCCCACCATTTTGTTTGGTGAAGATTTGCATGCCTGTCCTGTGATGTGAGGAACAGTGGCCCATATCCTTCTCTGCTGGCCGGTCGTCCCCTTCCCAGCTGTTCCCAGCCTCGACACTGACCCCTCCCTTCCTCTCCCCCAGATGTCAGTGGCACCATGCCTGACTCCTACAGCCCTCAGTATGTAGAGGCAGCCTGGTATCCTTGGTGGGAGCAGCAGGGCTTCTTCAAGCCAGAGTATGGAGTGAGTGTGCACTGCCGCCCAGCCCTGGAGGGGAGGAGGCCGGGAAGGGCAGGTCTGACAGACACATTGCTTGGGACTGGGCTGGGAGAGGTGACATGAGGCATTAGCATGTGCCCATTTTTCCTCCCCTACAGCGTTCCAGTTTATTAACACCAAATCCCCGGGGCGTCTTCATGATGTGCATCCCACCCCCCAATGTGACAGGCTCCCTGCACCTGGGCCACGCGCTCACCAATGCTATCCAGGACTCCCTGACCCGATGGTGAGCTCCTGTCCTCTCCTCCACTGGTTCCCTCTGCCTTCTCTTCCCTGACTGGGGCCCTCCTGCCTCTCCCCGTCCATGTTGGCCCTCAGCTCTGCCCCCTGGTGGTGCTACACTTCTCTCTGCTGATCACTTAGCACCCTTCCCTAGTCAGCTAATGAGCACCCCCGCTTGCAGACTCCTTTCTCTCCTTTCTCTTGCTACTAGAAATAAGATTATTTTGAATTTAACAAGAAATATGTAAAATATTCTTGTTGTAAGAAATTGAAAGCTTCAAGTCTCTTTGACGACCTCCCTCCGGACCTACTCCCTCCCAAGACTTAGCCTTCGCTATCACTTTGATGTGGACCTTTCCTATTTACTTACATGTCATGCATGCATAGAAATTCATAGTTTTCTATTCCCTGACATAAAGCGCTCACACCAAACATGTTATTCTTCAACTTTCTTCTTACAATGAACAGTTTATCTTAGAGATCTTTCCTTATCTTATACGTAGACTGACTTCATTCTCTTTCATTGCTCTGTAGTATTCCATAGTGTGACTATACCATAACGGAGTCACTTTTTTATTAATGGTTGTTCCTAGTTTTTCTCTGTTGACAACCTTGCTAGAATGCACATTCCTGCACATGCTTTCTCAAGTACATGTGGAAGGATTTCTCTACTGTAGTTAGCAAGAAGTGAAACTGCTAGGTCAGAGGGGCATGCCAGTATTAAGTACAAATGGAAGCTGCCAAGTTGCCCTACAAAACGGCTCTACCGATTTATACCTCCATGAATTGCGTGTAAGGGTATTCGCTTCCCTGTGCCCTTGGCAACTCTGGACATGATC